AAAGTTAAGCATAGTAAATAATAAGTAAAGTTTCTCATTTTGGATGAATGAATTCAATATTTCTACTGTATGCGGTTAGTTTAAAAGGAAACAAAAGTAGTGAATAAAATTGTCTAAACCCAAAGTAATTCCATCTGATGTTTCAACAATGAGAGATATGAGGTTGATATATAGATGAAGAAATATTTAAGAAATGTCCCATTGAGGTAGGGAAGATTTCTTAAAATGCATTAACACACACAGGACAACTACTTACTCGAATAGTGACACTCTTAAAACGCTGAGTGGTTTAACTTCTACTGTAATGATTTTGGTCACTTGAGACTTACTGATGCATATATAATAACTGTCTCAACCTACGACTCTATCTTCTCTTCTCTCATTTCTACGATTGCTTTGTACATGACCCGTACTCTTAAAAACTTAGCACTGAAGAATCAAAGTGTGACTGAGTAATGTTATAGTGTTTTATAACGAGTACATGATAGTCAATCAATACTATAACTTTTTCATACATTTCGTTCCCATGATAAATTTCGATTGAGAAAGACCAGGTTTTCAGTGGAAAATGATATCATTCTACATCACAGGTCCTCATCACCTGCAAACTACCTGAAATTACAATGGTTATAAATAATGACATTTCATACTTCAATGTTTGAAAAGTAATAAATAAAACATTATAAGATGAACACATTCAGAATATAAGTACTACAATTTTTAGTTTAAGTTACCATCAGTTTATATGTTATTAAACTATGAAAAAAAGGGAGGGTTAAGAGAAGACAGGAAACAGATAAATCCAGTAACCAGTGTTAGCTTGTACGTTAACATGGCAACTCAAGGAGGTTAAAGTTCATAAAACTGAAACTCTGCTCAGTGAGCTAGACTCACCAATGTGTATGACTAATTGGCATAATCGAAGTAATACGGTTACCAGGGGAGTGAGAGATTGACTACACTGTCTTTCTGTGTGCATAAGTTTGTTCTGAAACATTTGATTACAATTGCTTCAGCAGATCGCGGTGAATTTGCTGTCCTTTGTATGTTGAATATTTCGAAGGATTTGGAAATCTCAAGTGAATGACCCATACCCACAAGGAATATACTCTGAAAACCGGATAGAAGCCCTTCTTTCTGTCCTTCCAATGTATTTGCTGCCAAGGGTGCACGTAAATTTATAAATGCAGATGGAGGTAACATCAGCAGGGTACTTATTCAGTTTCGATTGGCTTATAGAGCATGTAGTACTGTATAGTGTCACCAGATTGACTGCAGGGAAGCATCTCTCTATTGCTCCTTTCATCCTCTTTTCAATCTTTTGCGATATGGTCTCCCCTTTGTATGGGAGGCAAATGAACACTTTCTTCTTTTCAACTGTTGGATATTTCTCTTTCTCACCTCTTTCTTTGCTGTACTTTAGGATAAATCCTTTTGGATACACGTTTTCCTTAAGGCATTTTTCAACAAACCTTAATTCTTCTTCTATCTTGTTAGGCTAACATAACTTCCTGGCTCTGTCGTATAGTGTCCTTACTGATCCCCCCTCACAACTTATAAGACAGATGGCAGTGCCTTTAACTAAATACTGTAATGCTTATATTCTCCATACGTTCATCTTATAATGTTTTCTCCATCACCTCTCAAACATTCAAGTATGAAATGTCATTATTTATAACCATTGTAATTTCAGGTAGTTTGTAGGTGATGAGAACCTGTGAAGTAGAATGATATCATTTTATACTGCAAATCTGGTCTTTTTTCCTCCATAACTCTTTATTCCACTTTACCTTCTAAGAAATAATCACAAGCTACGCAATATGTTGAGTCACTATTAAAATACAGGTAAGTTTCAGTTTAACTTACTGGTTCTACTACTGAAACGAGATGAACTGAAGCGAAAATTTAGATTTCGACCACCCAAAGATTCGAACCAACGGCTTTCAGGTAACCACTTCATTGAATTATCATCACAGTTATAAGATTCAGCTACTAGTTAGGTTTTATTTTCGTCTCACTTATCCAGTTGTCTCAGATGACAAGTGAATGCTCAATATTTAACTCTTTCTTTCATTAAAACAACATAATTTCAAGTCATTTCAACAATGACTGATAGCATGAATTAGTTCTCTTCTCTAATTCAGTACAACTGTATCCAGAATAAGACGTGGCAAGACACGTAGTGTAATTGAAAGTAACAAACGGTTAACTATCACTCAGATGGAAGTGAAATAATGAAACAGAAAGCAGCTGCAACTAATTGTAAGCCTGTAGGCTAGGGTCCTTCGGTAACATATTCAAATACTGAAGTAACCTAGGCCTTTCATCAATCTTATTCAGTGAAGTGTCTTCTTATATAGGTGTTTGAATTGCAAATAAGAATAATATGTAATGACAATAATCCGATTATAAATTCAGATAGGTCATACTTCACAGTTTGTGTATAATCTGAATTTATAATTATTTCACACCTACTGTAATATCCACCGGGAAGGACAATAATTTAAAAATCATTCGAACTTCATGGTTTTAAATAGAAATTCACAAAATAATAATAGTATGGCGAAAGCCACACACTTATCTTTAAAACAAAATATCCTTTGGAATTAACACATATTCACTAACTTCGCAAAGATTCTTCAGAAAAAATAAACAAAATAAACACATGCATGGTCCGGAGTCCGATCCCCGGCCGACACACAGCTGATTTCAATGTTTGGCCTGCTAAATTTGGGCTGCCGATTTCACACGCTAAAAATTCCATAGTTACTGTGTGGAATCAAGTTATAACAAAATTTTAAAAAAAGTAAATAAATAATTGGCATTTCCTCTTTATCCCCTATAAAATCACCTGTTTCCAGAAAATAGTGAAAAATGCAAACCTATAAAACCGAGCTAGTTATAGAAGTAAGCAAAGTGGTCGACACTCTCGACTATGGCCAAAGTGTAATTACACAGATCACTAATGGACTTTCAGCTTGCAGTTGGTGGGTGCAATCGGTATACCAAACACTCATAGAATGAATGTCTACCTATTACATCCACGGCTAGTTCTGAAACCAATCCGGATGCCGTATTCCCTAGATTCCATTGGATGTAGAATGCTTATGGTCCCTTGGGTTTTAAAGACCATACTGATCAAGCCAATTCACTTGTGGTTATCATAAGAAGTGGTTCTTTCCATTAAGACTTAGGTAACAAACAATTGTAACCAGTTGGTGGGAATCACATCTGATCCTAGTAACACAACTAAAATCTCACTCAGTTTAACTCATAAACTAAACCTATCGTCTATGATTACCCCTGAAAGTGCCTATCCAGACCCTGTTACTCCTCGTCGCTTAAGATTACATACATTCCAGGAAGTACTAAGTGTCCCATGTTAATATCCCATCCGTGATGCTAATGAAGGGTGGCTGGTTTAAAATGTACCTACTGATTCATTCTTGCCAGTGATAGTTTTGTTAAATCCAACGTTGCTCAATCTTGTGCAAATTAGGTGCGTTAGAAGTTCCTAAACAGTTCAGAATTTAAATGTTATAGACCACCCATTAAATTGAATCCTTTTTCTTTTCCGATATGTAACAAAAAATGACTGGTAACTTCGTCTCTGTCTTCTGGAGGTTAACCGAACTCAATCTATATGAAAGCGTTTGCATTTGTGGACAAGACTGGATACGCGCTGCTGCAGGACAATTACAGATATATAATTTTCAAGGCTTAAATTTTCAAACTCCTCAGAAAAGTATTGTACCTGTCTTGGTAGCGAAATTATGGGAAGGCTTCTGCCTAATAACCCCATCATAGTGTAAAAAACTTAGAATACAGAGGTTAAGTCTCTGCCGTGGTATCACTTCATTGAACTGCTGTTCCAGCTATAGTAGCTAGTACAGGTATTGCGATATTCAAAGCTAAGTATTGACTGAAGGGAGACGAAGTGGACTGGCAATTAATTAATGTTGAATACATTGTAAGAACTTCTTCAGGTCATCGAGTTTTGTAACTATAAAACTCATTACATAAACACCAAACAAAAGAATTGCCTTATATTTCATCAACGTTTCAGTAAAATTCTTTGAGAAATTCTTGTGAGCTATCAAAATATATTCGAGCTAAAAACATCCAGGATCACTACAAAACTTGTTATGTCGTAAATCCAGCAAGCTGAAAAAAGGCTAAACAATATTAACGAAGTTAATCATTACCACAGTACGCTAGTTAAGCATTATGATACTAACTGACTGCGAAATCAGGTTTCAACTGGAGTCCCTTAGGCCTTAATTACATGAAAGACATTTACAGTGAATGGTAATCGGTAGACCTAGAAACCGTTCACAAGTCAATGGAGAACTCAACAAAGTGTTTGAGTTCATCAGGTGGAGAATTAAATCAACCACAACCGTGTTAGCTCCTGAAATTGGCTTATGCTGATTAGTATTAATACTGATAAGTTCGTCGTGCCTTTCATAAAAGCCGACAAAACGAATTCTGATAGTCCTCACTGAGTGAAAAATTGGTAAGTGTCATGTGTTTAAATGCACCCTTATGTCAGTTTTATTTTGGATGAGTGCACTATCACATGAACCTCAGCATTACTTAAGCCATTATTCCATTTTCTAATCAAACATATTTTTATAGTGGTAACTGGCAATGGAGTTCTCACTGCATATTTTTTCTTTCTAGATAATTGTTGGTTAAAAGAACCTATATTCCAGTGAAGGCTGGTGTTATTGTTAACGCAAAATACTACCACTCATTGTTTTAACAACCGTAATACTATCTGTTATACTACTGTGCCACACGACGACATAATGAGTTTTTGCTTTTCTTACTCATCTGCTACGTACCCAGTAAAGTGATTATTTGAAAAGCATTATGTTTTTGGGTCTGACATCACTAACATATCTTGTTTAAATAAAAGTTCTATATTTTTGGCCTAATTATCTAATAAACTTAACTATTCTAACATGATCTGCTTGTTTATCTCTTTCTCAAATTAGAATGTGACTGCAATCTTCATTCGAATGAATGCCGATTTTCAAATGCACTTTATTTGTTATCTAATCGTGTAAGTGGTGGTGTCTGCGAAAATTGTCAGCATAACACAATCGGTCGCAACTGTCATCAATGTGCTGAAGGTTATTATCGGGACTGGACAAAACCAACAAGCCATGAACATGTCTGTCTACGTAAGTCACAAAAAAATAGTACAGTTATCATTTGTGTAAAATTAGCGATTGAATGTTAGAGAAAACTTGTTTTCCGCAGGACTAGACTTCTGACTCCATGAAAAAAGCTTTATTTTATTTTTATTTTCATTTATTCGTGGCGTACATCTAAGTATCATTCCATTAATGGCGAAGTTCAACAATAGCGTCCCATAAGTGTGAACGCTCCAGTGACCTTGTTGAACTTTGCCAGTTTAATTAGTAATATTCCTAGAATCAAAAAGTACTACACGAAATATTCCCTGTGGATATTTAAACTGCAATTCCCTTAAGGGCAGTAAAATATTTAGTTATTCAAACTACATGGTCTTCGGTTTCTGAGGAACAAATCGCCAAGTGAGTTTGACTTTTTACCACATAATGTCTAGTGTCATAGAAGCTAGAAGACTTGCAAGCAAAAAGCAACAAACTGGAGAGGCTGGCAGCAAAGACATGACTCCAAGTAAACACAAAGAAGACGGAGGTGATGAGGATAACCAACCAACAGTACAGTGGTTAGGACTGTCGCCGACCATGCACATGGTCCGGGGTTCGATACCCTGCCAACGCACACCTGATATCTATAGTCGGCCTGCAAAATTTGGGCTACCGATATCCATGCTGAAAATTCCATACTTGTACCAAAAATACAGTGTGGAATCAAGTTGCAATCAAAAAAATAAAACAACCAACACCAATCACCATCAACAGGAGGGATTTAACATAGGTTACTTCCTGTCTTCACTTAACTAGGAAGCATCGTTTCAACTACAGGCAGTCGGAACAGATGACGACGTCAAAGCCACTCAGGATAAGAGAGGAAAGATACGCACGCCTCCCTTAAACTGAAACTAGTTTGGAAATATTCTGCAATCAACATAAGGAACGAGATTCGGATTATACTCAATACCAATGTGAAGAGACTCAAATTATGCTATACGGGTCAGAAACTTGACCGGCGTGTCACGAAGAGTATTTCCAACAGCCAGTTGCAGATTTTCATAAACAGCTGCCTCGTTCGCTGTCCGGCTCTGTAGTGAAGATCAAATAGCCGGCCAGAAAGAATGAGTAACAAGAAACTCAGGCTAGGAACAAATCAACCAAGGGCCGACTGCTGAACAAATTTTTTTCCTTCACGTTCCCCAGTGGAACATAGGGCTTCAAGCTAGTGGCTTGAAGATTCTGCAGCAGTGTTTATTTTACAGGATGGGGTTGCTAGCCTCATTCCAAACCTTTCCTCTTTACCAGCATTATTTCTGGCTTAGCGAGGCAAAGGAGTGCGTCTGTGGCCGGGGGTCGAACCCCAGACCATGTGCATGGTCGGCGAGCGTCCTAACCGCTATGCAAACGACGTACGAATATAGGAGAAAATGGAGATGGATCAAGTGTACATTGAAGAGACGGTCGAATGACATCGTGTGCCAGGCCCTCGAGTGGAATTTCAATGGGAAGTGACGAGTGGGTCTTCAATGTGAGGTTGACATTGAGGAGATAGTGTGAGGAGATTAGGGACCCACATGAAGAGGACGGCAGAAAACAGGACAAAGTGGAGATGTGTTGTTGAAGTCCTGTATCCCATTCGAAACTCAAGGGAATAATAATAAATCCGTTAATACTGGCATAAATGTACATCTGACTGACTAGTGTAAAACAGAAGAAAATGTGCTTTCTAGTTTTAATACTAATAATGTCTTCATTTCAAAGAGTACCTTTGATAAAATATGGAATTCTAATTGTTAATCACTCCTGCATGTAATGACACTTGTTTATCCCTTCATTACTACTGCTTGAAAATGATAATCACTATTGAAGGCTTTTCACCTAACTGCCCGTTAATTAGGATCTATCCACCATACTGAATATGTAAAAATACTTTACTCATGTTTAGTTTCCATAATTTAAAGACATCATCTACAAGTGCATTCAGTATAAAAAATAAAAAAAATTAAAACGAACTAAAATTCTGTTCAACTAGCATTAATTAATTTTAAGATTGGTCTACCGAATTTTTTATATTTTTGTTTCATTTTGTTTACGAGATGCGTACATAATAACCTTTTGAATTAACTAGTCCAGATGGCTGAAATTTTTAATCGATGTTTTTTCCCCTTTTATCATTATACGTTTCTTTTATCAAGAGTATATATATATATACATGTATATATCACAGCAGATGTGTTCACCGACTATAATAATTCTTACCACTGCGCATATTTTAAAACAAATCGGACATAGATCATTATAAAGCAATACACTGACTTGTGTACGTATTAATCAAGACTTTCTTTTATCTAAAACTAAAACGTGTTTTTATGCACAATGTTATCTGTGCAATTAGAAAAGTTCTTTGAAACTTTTAGGACTAGGAATTTATACTAAGAATATAATTAGTTATTTTCTTAGTAAAGAAGTGAGTTTAGTGATGCTTGGCATAAGCGGATTTGGCTGTATAAGAGAGGATTCAATCTCTTTGTTGATGGATGATTGAATTTCCCGTGTGTAATACTGTAATTATATCTCATCAGCATTCCAAGCTTATTGAAGCATTTAAGCTTATTTATGCACACTGGTGAATATGTGATTCCGTTACTTTCGACTCAGAGTTATTTGAAAATACACTGAGTCATTTCATTATTTGACCTTATGTAACTATTTCGAAACTATCTGCCACTAGGCAGAAAGTGGAACCATTTGTCCTATTCGCTGCATCCTTTTGTGCACAACCTCTGTGACCCTGGGTGATATTATTTGCTCAAAGCCTGAAATTAGATGGAATTATTGTTTTTTTCCAAGGGCCGAATGTTATAAGTGTTTCTATAAAAATTACTTTTCGAAGAGAATTGCACTGCTTGATAATTTTCCTATCAAAATACCCAGCAAGGAAGCTATGAGCTTTCGGTTAAAACGTGGTTTACAGTGTTTTAAGACCATGAAAGTTAGCAGTTAATAAGTGACATTTTTCTGTTGAAAGGATCGTCTCTGACTGGACTTGGTCCGCCTCGGTTAAATGACCTTCATATTTACAAAACCTGTGGAGTGACCTAAATTACATGGAAGGTAGGACCAATACAGTTAAATCACCATTTCGTTAGACTCCCAATTTAACCAGAAGTTTTGAGTGTTATACAAAATTTTTCCAGTAGTTCAGACAACTTACTTTAAGTTGGCATTCTGAAAGTCACTGGTGGCAACCATGATACGAATCATACCCTTGATCTACTTTAGAAAGTTAATACAGTTTGAATATACGTATCAATATACATCTTACTGTAGCGGCATTTAAAGGTAAATTTCTTCAAACTATGGATATTTTTATGGTTATATACGACATTGATGTTTTAGCATACCTAGAGGGGAAAGAACAAGAAGTTCAGCAAAAATATCATTTCGGCGATTTCATTTTGAAAAACTGTACAATCTTACTTAGAGACATAAATTTACATAGATATAATAATTATTTAATTCCAACTAATTACAGAGGCGAATAAAAGGTGACAATTGTTTCTAACATGATATGAATACTGTCGAAATATTTTCATAGCTGGGTATTTATTTTCTATATACAGCATGTCGTTGTCATCCAATCGGATCTATAGTTCGTCATGACTGCGACAGAAGAAGTGGACAATGCCGATGCAAACAAGGTGTGGCTGGATTGACATGTGATCGTTGTCAAGATGGTTATCACCAAACACGTTCACCACTTAACCCGTGTACAAAAGGTAGGTCATAAATTTGTTTGAAAATCTCGTTTTTCACTCTGTATTGTTTTCACTCATTGATAGTTCCTAACATGCGGCCTGGAATAGTCTCCTGTTACATAAATGCTTTTGAAACTGTTGTCTCCCATCTAGGCATTTTATGAACTTGTCTGCACCAAAATGTTTTAAATGGAAAATATTCAAAATTAAGCGAATATGGCTTTTTGGTTAGAGGATTTCATCACGAGCTGACGTCGGTTAGAGGACCATTGGAAAACGAGCAGGCAGTACTGGACCGCTGTTTCATTGAAGTTTGGGACTCTTCATCAGTACGCACCTACCGGGGCTCGAACCCGAGACATTCTGGTTGCAAGGCGAGCTCGTAGATTATTAAGCCACTGATACCCGATCCAATGGCCGTGACCAGTAGGGTGTAGCAGGTTAAAAACGAGGTAGTAACTCATCGAAGAAGATATTGCGGAGTGGTCTCGCGATGTCAGGAATCGGCAGAAGTTAAAATTTATGGGCCATTGGATCGAGACCCAGTGGCTTAATGGTCCACAAGCTAGCTCACCTTGTAAACATAAGGTCCTGGGTTCGAAACCCGGTGGGTGCATACTGATGAAGAGTCCCAAGCTAGGACGAAACAGCTGTCCAGTACTCCGAGGTTTTCCAATGGTTCTCTAACTGATATCAACTCATAATGAAATCCTCCAAACAATGAGACAAAATCCCGAAAATAAACCAATACTTGAATATATGGTTTTGACTATCCTGCGATTTTTAATCATCATTCAGGGAATACTGTGAATCCGCAGATCCTGGAATTCATGGGCCGCTGAATTTCGTCTCTGTGACTGGACAGAAGGAGTGCTGGGCTTGTAACCTGAGTTTGGTTCATGGCGGGTTCATAGGTGCATAGTGCCAAAATGTTTCAAATTAGGACGAAAAAGTGCTCCTTAGTTTTCTGTGGTTATCTAAGTAATATTACCTCGAGGTTTAACTTGAAAATATCTTGAAAAATATTTATTCATGCTGAGTAGGTTTCTTAAACTTCGAATTTACAGAAAATATCATCCATGTAGTTAGCATGACATTCACGGGTCCCAGATATTCTTTGCGATAAAACGATGTAATTCAACGGATTATTACACCGATTATTGTTCTCAAAACAATGGCAGAGGACAAAATTAGTCAGTTAAAAGTGTTTCACAGCTTTGGACAAAACCTCTGAGGTACTGAAATGAACTTCGTTGTGGTATGTCCACTGAAAATTAAATTTACTATCCACTAGTTTATTGTTATTGACTAAGCCACTGATAATAGCCACCACACATTTAAACAGTATCTTTTTTTAATAAGATTTTGACTGAAGTGACAAGTTTTCTGGATGTATTAATTAGCACATCAGTCTCACTGTCACCTCACATATATGTATATATATATATATATATATATATATATATATATATTCTACAATATGCTAGATACTCCCTTTATTCCTATTTCTCTTCTATTTCCCGTTAGCTATCACTCAGCGTCAACTTTCTTTTTACTTGCTGTTTCAGCTACCTTTATTCCAAAACATTTGTATTCCCATATGAACTAGTTTATAGCCATCACTTTTATTGCAGTCCTCACTTGGTTTGATAAAATACTACTGGAATCTTTCCATTCCTTAACGCCCTCGGTGTTATTCAGCATTTTCCACCTTCATCATTCCTCGTGAAAACAGATACCCTAACCGCCACCTACAAATCTTTCTATATGATTGGTTATTTCGCAGTTTTGGTTTCGTTAGCCACCGCACCTGACTTATTATCAAAGGATATAGGTAGACTGCAGAATGTGGCTCAGCAACTGTTAACATATTTATACATTCGCTAGTGAACCACAATTATTGTTCAATTGCAATCGGTTTCACCTGATAGCTAGAATTTTAATAAACGGAGTAAGTTTTAAACCCGCAACGGATTGTTTACAGACTAATAAGCTGTAGTTACATTAAAATTCAAAGCAACTTGTATTTATATTTCATCAAAAAATCAGTTATTTACACGATTATTGCACTTTTTTGGATTGTAAAATCAATTCAAAAGGATATTTTTGCTCCCATCAAAAGGTACAAATAAGGTAAACATGATTGTTAAGTATATGAAAATTTCAGAATCGCGGCTGATCAACTTAAGAAAGTAATTCCTGTTTCATAAATCTGTAAAACTGAATGCATCTGTGGTATGGTGAGCATATTTTTCCTCTGATTTGTGTTCAAAAAACTACTTAACTTACTTTAGTAGATTTAAAGTGACACAAAGTAACTGTTCTCAGTTTCATCAACTAAAGTAATTAGGTAATTGCTTGTTCATCAGATAACATTTCATAACATGTTACCTGAACAACAGTCCAAGTGATAAAATCTCATGGGAAAGATTATCTCGATAGAATCTCTTATTCACATAATGTAATATCAAAATTAGAATGGTAATTTTGATTCGTAAGATTTGGTATACAATTTAACACGTAAAAACATTGCCTCTGACCATCTAACATAGGAGTATTAATTTAGACTTCATCCGAAAGATAAACACTAGTGTAGCAAAGTTAATTTATTGCAGTTGAACTCAAAAATATTATATTCACGTTTGTAGGTAAATAAATAAACTTAGAGGGATTTTCAGGTATTGGTTTATTGTAGGGATTTCGCTTCATTGGTTGGAGGATTTCATCATGAGCTGACATAGATTAGAGAACCATTGGAAAACCTTGGAGTACTGGACAGCTGTTTTGTCAGCCTAGTTTGGAGCCTCTTAGAAGTACGCACCCACTGGGGTTCGAACCCAGGACCTTCTGGGTACAAGGCCAGCGAGCTCATGCACCATTAAGCTACTGGTACCCGATCCAATGGCCAGTGCATGAATTCCAACTTCTGCAAATTCATGACATAGCGCAACTGCTAACCAATGTCTTCGGCCAGTATTCTTCCTCACACCCGATCTGAACTATGCCATATTACTCAAAAAATCGGTCTTCTAATTCTGAATCCATGATTAAGTGACGTCAAAATCCTTATGAGAGCTGATGTTTCCGAGCTTTGACTTTCAGAAAGTAATCGGTTCAAGCGGATGAACTTCCGCAAATATATGACGAATTTACTCTCCAGTTCTCATTATATTTTGCAGTTATCTTAGTTTGGTTTTTCTAAAACCTTAGATTTTTTAAGAGATCATTCCAGTGTTTTATGTATGGTTTCATTTTTCTCCTGCTTCGCCATTTACATACAAATACATGTGATATATCCAACCTTTTATTTTCCAGTTATCAGTTAGGGGCGCACTTCAAATAACCTGGTTTTCATCAAATATTTATCTTTGCATCATATCTACGCACATGCATACAAAAGAAAATCACTGATGCTATATTTTAAAAGTAACCTCACAAACAGTTAGATAGACACTGGATAGCCCTTCAAAATATACTTAGTTTTTGAGAATATATATACGTAGAGAAATCCTAAGTCTTCAGGATACATTACAACAATCAATGTGAAGAGCTTCTGCTATTTTGATGCTTTTTGATACATTTCTCAGAATTCCACCACCTCGCTCCTTATATTCCAATGCTCCTATATTTAAAGCAACTGATAACTTTCAAGAGTCTGTCATTTCTACTACAGCGCTTAGCGATTTGTAAGGAAAGAAACTATGTCAAGAAGTGTGATCAAAATAACTAAACCCCAACTACAATTTAACGGAAGCTAAAGGTTACGAGTAATGGTTAGTTGAATGCGTCAGTCGTTTATGATTACGAACTACATTGTTCGGATACTTTATCTAACACTGTTTCACATTTCAAGAAGTTAATACAACAACACACAAAATCTGCCTTCGTTGTGTAAGCAGATAGACATTAGGATAAACAGTTTTCTGCAATCTATCCCTTCTCACTTTTATGCCTTTCAAAAATTACATGCTGCATATCAGCCAGTTGCATCACTTTCTGAAAATAAATCACGTTTCTTACCCGTAACCGTATTGCCTAATTTGTTATCGAATAGCTGTGAATCCAAACTTATATGTTTAAGCACTTCCTAAAGACTAGTCAAATATATATCTGAAAGAAGTCTAAAAAACTTGGAAAATAAGTCGAAGAACTTTTTTTAAGCCTTGACAGTGCACATTCAGAACATGTTTTGAAAACTGTAGTTGATCAGTACCTTAGTGAATATAGAATACAATGAATAAAGAGTAAAAATAACGTGAACATTCTGCTACCGGATTTATTTGAGGTTCTGGATTTTAAGTGAAATAATTCCAGCTAAACTATATCCCTGTATGACTCCAAACTGAAGATACATACATGTTCTGAATGTTTACCCTTTTTAAATACAAATACTGCCATTTTAAATAGTGACAATCAAGTAATTGCTTATCCACAGAAATCAAATTTCTTTCTTTTTTGTTGAGTACGCCTGTAGATAAAAATGCTGACTTTATTAGATGAATACCAGTAAATTATTGAATTGAAATTTTGATTTTCCCGTCGATTGATTGGACCGAAGTGTTCGGTCTCAGGTTGACATGTCGGCTTCTTGTGCAGATGCTTCGACGATGTCTGAGGATTTGATTTGTATACAATTGGTGGATGGTGGCTAGCAGTGGAATCCAGGATGCGCATTTCGTCCACTGCTAGCCACCATCCACCAACTGTATACAAATCAAATCCCCAGACATCGTCGAAGCATCTGCACAAGAAGCCGACATGTCAACCTGAGACCGAACACTTCGGTCCAATCAATCGACGGGAAAATCAAAAATTCAATTCACTTCGTTTTATGTCTATTTTTGAGCTATTTCACTGAATTGGATCTTTGTGGAGAAGATCAGAAGCATAAACATGCAGCTCAGTTTTATTTGTTGTCTTTTACGGTAACAGTTGTAACAGTAACCCCCCCCCCCAAACATTTCCATTTTAACTACAAATAAAAGAGCTATCATATTTACACCTAAAACTTAAATTACAAA